AGCACCACCCAAAGGTTCACATTTGTATTTATAAGTGAAAAGGCTCAACAGCAGTTGGATGAATTGCACTGATGTTTGGTCCAGACATTCATGTTCTCTCAGTAACGTGATGATCTTCTATCCTCCAGTGCTATCATCAGATCCAAGTTTTAATTAACGCTTTTTAAGACCTCAGCTGTACTCGCTGCTAATTACCAAATGTTGGCATGCTAACACCCAAGATGGCAAGCATGGTGAACATTATACCCCGCTAAATATCAGCATGTTAGCACTGTCACTATGAACATATTGGCACTTATCTTAAAGTACAGCTGTGACTAGGGTCATTGTTATAGAGCCACTAGCATGGCTGTAGTTCTATAGTAATTATTAGGTCTTTTTTTTAAAGCAGCTTTGCACTCAGTAGTTCAGATATGAGCTAACAAAATATCCGCCTAGTTTTCCTTGTATCCTTTGTCACACTTTCTCTTGCTCTTCCCTTCTTGTCCCCTTCAACCAAAATACTGGTCACCGAGGTGTGGTTTTAATCTCAGGTTGGCCTGCCAGTACCACAACTTGTTGGCTTCACTTGGCAAATAAATATGTGTATAGGACAAACAGGTTTGGTGACAATGCTAGTAACTGCAGGAAACGGTATCTATACCAGAGATACAGTGTGATTACTGTGAAACCCCAGTTCCCAGGCTGGTGAGTAATTTCTCTTTTCTTCTGCCCTACCTTGACCTAAATTCTAACTTGTCTTTAACTGTGTTGCAAAAGAATGTTATGCTGTGAACCTGCTTAATGATTTGGTGATCCAAGCATTTTAATCCGAAAGGAAGGAACACGGTCCTTTCTTACGAGAACATACAAGGAAGGAACAAGGTCCTTTCTTACGAGAACATACAAGGAAGGAACAAGGTCCTTTCTTACGAGAACATACATTTGTTTCTTTTCAGTTATTCGGTTATTTGTTGTAGTCCTGTTGTATTTAAACCTGCTTACAAATGCAAATGTGTAATAAACACTTGTGAGAACCAATTTAAGCATGCACATGATTGTATTTGCTTAACTTGTATTATGCTTTGTTCCTGAATTGTCTTCTAGTTTGCATGAGGAATCGCACCCTTGACTGTCAGTATGTATTTAAATTGCTTGCTATAAGTGTAGGAGTAAACGGTGTCTCCTCTCTATGACTCCGTCATGAGGTTTGCCATAGAGCAGTGGGATATTTGGAAGTCTGGCTTCAAGATTAAGAGGCTCTAACATTCTTGTGCTCACTGTTTAATTAGAAATAAGCAATGAAATAGCAAAATACATTTAGTCCGTGCCAGCACCAACACTGAATGGAGAAGGGTAACTTTCAGTACACACTGCTCTGGTGATTATTTTCTGTACTCTATCAACTTTCCCACCTTTGCCCACCTTAATTTCCAGGGCCCATGTTGACATATTGTCATTGCGTGCCATGTCCATCTAGCAGTCCAAAACCCAAATATATTCTATCTACTATACTATCATATATGATGAAGAAAATATTCAGAATGTCACTCTTGAGTTGGCCTGGGGCTCGATTGCATTTTATTGACTCTGAATCCAATTCCAGATCCAGTTATTGAATCCGTATCTTTTTGACTCCCTGTTTGAATAATTATAATAATACATTTATTCATATAGTGCTTTAAAGGTTTATTTTATAGCAGCAAAACACCTTTAAACTATTTTTTGGAACAAACAGTGCAATATTTAAGGCCTCAAATACGATGTCAGACTTGCCATTGATTGTTGGGATTAGAGGACGTAAAGTTAGCATTAATTGCGATTGACGTTTGTAATTCACACTTGCAAATGCTTGTCTTCTCGTGTGATTTATTTGCCTGCTACAAACACACAACAAACAATGGTTTGTCTCTAAGCTGCTCTCTTAATGTGGAAAGTACAGTATGCAAATGCACCAGTTGTTGAGGAAATTTCATCATTCTGTAATCGCCTCTCCCCACATTGACACGCTGGATCCTTCACCAAGTGACATTTCACAGCCTTGTAATTTAAAAATTAAGCGTTGCCTAAAGGTGGACTGGTGGTTGCATTGCTACATATCTGACTGTGAGACTGAGCATTCGTCCTTCTCATGTTATGGAATGTAAAGTAAGTTCTTACTCTAACATGATCGATACTAGAAGATAAGTTGTTGGACAAGTTGTTGTCCCCTTTGTCCGTGAGTACCAACCTGCACTGCCAGCCCCCCACCCCCCTATGTAATAGGCTACATAGCCTAGCATTACATATACAACAGTTCTACTAAATTGTTACCAGTTTGTAAACGTGTTGTTCTCCTTTGGCAACATCTGTATTATCAGTTTTACTTTTTTGAAATGTTTTGGACCAACTCTAAATAAAGGCTAAGAACATAAGTGTGCACACCTGCTTTTGAAAATGTTTCCTGAACATCCGGTGTCATGTCTTGCTCACACTCAAACAAATTTTAAAAGACAAAGCAGGGTCCACTGAAAGTAGTTTGCCAGTGTTATGGGACACAGAAGTGTAAATATAGACCTTCTCAGCTGTAATTATTAAGTACATGAACCAAGGCATGACTCAGTGCTGTCATGTTTGGAAAATGCCACATGAAAAGCGGCAGCATTTCAAGAGTGCGGACGAGGTTAGATGTAATTTGCAGCCAGCTTTCAGGTAACTCAACCAGTGAGCAAGATGATTCTAAAACCTTCCACACTTCCTTGTTCACAGCCTCAAGTTGTGCGTTTACACAGAATTGCCATGTTATTTCAGGGATTAAAGTCCATGCATGCTGAACCAAGGACATGCAGACTGCCCAATTTAAGGACAGTTTGATTAATAGTTGTTTTAGTGACTAATAGTTATGTTTTGTTCTAGTGCAAACCAATGCTGTAGGATATGAACTCTGACTTATTAATACTAATCTGTTACAAATACAATGTTACACTTAATAAAAACAGATCCCTTTTCATATGAAAAACAGCAGTGTATTGGTTTAATGCTATTAGAAATCAACAATGGCATGGTGTTATATAATAAAGTGTGAGAGCAGTTCATGGCTGTGTCATGTAATCTCTCACTCGTACTCAATGCATGAAGTGTTATTAGATGCTAATTAAAAAAGAGCAGACTTCTGAATTGGGAGTCTTTCACTGACCTTCTAGCTGACAACATGTGCTTGTATAAGCCAGCTGACCTTTCCACATCTGCACCATTTGTCACGTAGTCCTTGTACTTATTTACAAGTTCTGATAGATGAGACATAAAGACTGCCACACTGTTCCAAAACAAGTCATTGTTGGCTGGCCTGCTCAAGCTGAGACTGAGATTGGGCCAGACTTGGTGAAGGACAGACAGAGAACTTTATGAAATCAAGGACTGTGTGAAATGCAGGATTTATAGTCTTGAATAAAATAATATGATTGAATAATTGACGTCCTCAAAATAAATCTTCTGTCCATTATTTCAAGTATATGTACAGAGAGCCGAAGTCATGTCGTCACATCCTGGTTAGCCTCTGTTCCACTAGCTACAGTGACTCTGTGCAGTCTGTCATTTGGCATTTTTTCATTGGTCATTGTAAGAAAACTAAGCTCGTTCCTCTGGATTTTATTCATATTCTAAGACTAGCCGCCAGTAAGAGTATAACTCTTACTACCGAAGGTTGAAACCTTGGTGGTTTTAATAAGGTAAATTAACAATTAACATATTAGAAACAGAAAAACTGTTCCTTTGATCACTTTGCAGCACAGCGGTACAAATAATATACGACTGTCATTTACTAGGGCAGCACAGTGGAACAGCGTTTAGCACTGTGCCTCACAGCAATAAGGTTCTGGGCCCGAGCCCAGGCCAACCCGGGGCCTTTCTGTGTGAGTCTGCATGTTCTCCCCATTCCTGTGTGGGTTCTCTCCGAGTGCTCCAGCTTCCTCCCACAGTCTAAAGGCATGCGGCTTAGGTTGACTGGAGACTCTAAATAGCTCGTAGAACTGAGTGTGGGTGTGTGTGGTTGTTTGTCTACATGTCAGCCCTGTGATAGACTGTCGACCTGTCCAGGGTGGACCCCGCCTCTCGCTCAGTGTCTGCTGGGATTGGCTCCAGCCCCCCCCGCGACACTGTTCAGGCATAAGCAGTATAGGTAATGGATGGATGGACGTTATTTACATAAAGGCGACCAGAGAACTATGTTATACTGTTTACCTTTTAAGTTGTGTTGTTATAAATACAGGAACTATACTGGAAGCTATAAAAGCCATTCTCAAAATGCTTTGTGATTTTTGCAGTGGTGACACAGACTGCTCACATGTTCTGGTGGAGTTTCAGACCCCGTTGTCTTCAGGTCATTTCTTCAGTTCTTTTGGTGCAGCCACAACACAGGTGGCGGTGGTACTTTTGCTGTTGTCACCCTTCACAGCTGACTGTGGCGTTCGTCATATTCATGTATTTATTTGTCTTTTATTTCCACAGTGACATTTGTAGAGCTGCGGTAGTCAATTTTGATAATTGGTTAATCATTTTAATTATTTTTCAAGGATAAATTCCAAACATTTTCTGGTTAGTACTTCTCAAATATGATGATTGCAAACTGAATATCTGGGATTTTTGATTGTTGGTGAAATAATATCTTGAGCTTTGGGACAGTCAGTTATACACAAACGTGCCAAAGAATGGGAGAACATTCATGTGGAAGCTCAAGTTAGGTGCTGTAGACTTCTTCTTGTTGTTATTCTTCATCCTTTTCCCCACATGTGAATATGGTGAAAAGCAACACATTTTACTGTTACTTCTACAGGGAATTTTAACTAATGAAGGTACAGCATCCCTTTATCTGCAGCGGTATAAACGCCGTGTTCACTTTATCAGAAAGAGCTGTTTTCTGGTGTGTGAATCATGTGATAATTGTGACAAATACAGTCTTGTCAGTACAGTGTGATGTGCGACTGATGGAAAAACCTGCTGCCAACTTCTGTTTCTTACCTCTTTCCCCCTTTCTCTTTTCCCAGTCAGAGGCTGTCCGGCTTCTCCCTGCACCTGGGATGATGCCATGTAAAGGAGTGACCGTGGAGCTATAACCCCACCAGCACTGCTCCATCATTTCGACTCTGAGGTGTTTGCCTACACCCCCAGCCTCCGCTTCCTCCCTTTATCTTTGCTCTGAGCCCTGGACAAGGCCAGCACAGCCACCACATGACTCGCCCACTGGAGCCCTAGATCAAGTAAGTGCAGTGTGGCTGGTCAGAGCTGTGCATTAAACCGCATGTGGAATGAAGTGTATTGTGTGTTTTGGGTCCTTGTCTTGTACAAGCTGTGTAGCTGTTTCTTATTCAACAGTGATCATCATTGCATATTCCTGGAATGTTCTTTTCATGTTTATTTACTTTACTGACTGATAATGCAAGTTTTATTTATAATTTTAATGTATGAACTGAGCTTCTAAGGCTTCATGTTTGAAGGATGGCACTGGTAGAAGTGACCAGAGGTCAATATGCAGTGGATTCAGAAAATATTCAGACCCTTTTCAAGTTGTCCACATTTTTGTTATGTTTCAGATTTATCTTAAAATGGATGATTTCTTTTTCTCATCAGTCGACATGCCATACTTTACGTGACAATGTGAAAACAGGTTTTTGAAGTGTTTAGCCGATTCTGCCTTTTTTTTTTTCTTTTTTTTTTTCCAGAATTAGCTAAAATCTGAAAGACTGCTTTCTTCATTTTCTCAACAGATCTCATAGCCTGTTCGTTTCATTTTAAAGAGGAGCAGTTACTGAAGCCAGATACTGTAAATAGAAAGCGGCGAACTTAAGATAACACCTTTCTGTACTGGCCTTTCTGCATTATTCCCCTGTGCTTTGTGCTCTGAGACTTGGGCTCCCACACTGGCCACATGGCCCTGAACATCCCAGTGTGTCTGAATAGGCCTCCGCTAGTGTTTCAGGAGTTGAAATGAGGACACACACCCACACTAAAACTACAAATTACACAGAGACCAGTGAAGTTCAGTGAATGATGAATATTCATGTGGAATTATCAGTCTGGCAGTGAACATGATGGAGATGGAAAAATTAACTAAGCAATGACACACAAGCCGTTTTCACACATGAACTCTGGACTGTGTCCGTGGAATCAGATAGAACGTCATCAACATGCCCACTAGATCTATGTGTATACTCCAGACTGTACGCTGCTGTATTCTCACATGGGCTCACTCCAGCTCACTCGGACCTTGCGCTGGTTTTGTAGGGAGCTGGCAAAGTAAGTCTGTTTAAGGTCCAGGTCAGCTGACTCAGACGTGTCGAGTAATGGGTAATGTCGAGAGAATTTCAGGGTTCCAGTGTATGTCTAAAAAGGGCAGTAGACACAGAGAAAGGCAGATATGCAGATCAGTGAGTCTAAATGAGTGGTTTCATGTACCACAATGTTGTTAGAAAAATATTTAACTTTACTGATATATTTTGTTGCTATTTTAAGGATTTTTTAAGGCTTCTAGTTTGGTTTTCCTGTGAACTAAACTATATATTTTTACATTTGGGTTGTACATATGGCATGATTTGTAGCTAACATTTCCTTATGTACGTTAAACTAGGTCACACTTTTCTGTTCTCAACATAAATGAGCACAGTGACTAACTGCTTGTTGCTTTACACTATGTATTCTATACACTAAGGCATCTGGCTAACTGTAGTAATGTCTGTGGAGTTGTGTGCAGTCCGTGCTAATTTCTTGCTCTTGGTAAACATCCTGGATCTGGGTGTACACAGGTGGTGGGAAACAATGGAGTGGAACTTAACCGGGCATTCAGATGAGAAGCAGCGACTCTTAAAGGACCACACCATAACCTCAAACCATGTTCCATAACAAATCATTTTGTTATAAGATTTTCCAGGCTAATGTTGGTTTCCAACAATGTCACTGTAATAAAATAAATGTTTTGATGCTGTAGATTTGTCAGAGATACGATTCCACTGCAGTTGATCATGTTTACAGATGAACCAGTTTACTGTTGATTTACAGACAGTTTGTTGGAAACAAATGTAACAGTCACTCCTTAAACAGAAATCCAAAAAAAGAAAGGACAATCATGGGTTTCACCTTTTTAAATGATAGGGTTTTTTGGAGGGGGGGGGGGGGGTGGGT